GGGGGCTAAAAACCCCAGCCCCCCTGTTTCGCAATCACTGAATTATTGCTTCCAGAAAATTTTGAACTTTTAGACTCTAGAAAATGCATTTTCCAGCATTTGTTTTTGAGACACAAAAAATCATATTTTAAATGTCTAAAACACTGTTAAATTTATGTTCTTATAATTAATGCCTATTACAACAACGTCCAGTAATAGCGACCACATCTCCGCTGGCTTTCGTTGTCATTTTATCGCCATTTTGTTTTTGTTCTTGGAGACGAATGTGACATCTTACATAAAGTACAACTTGTTAGTAACCGCTGCCAAGAAAACCTCTGAGCCTGTCCTCAACGCACAAGAGACGCGTACGTATCAAAGCTTCTAATCTAGACGTAATCTTTGACTGTGACTATGTTTCGACGAAATTCCAGGGGAAATACACGCTTGTTTGCTTACAAAACATTTTGTAAATACTTAATTAGAATTTATAGTTACTTACAAAAGAGAAAGTAGCCGTCGCAAATGGAAGAGTTGCAGTCGGATGCGACGGGCGACGGCTTATTTTGAAACCACTGATTCGCTTACTTTTATAAGTTTATCTCTTATATCTAATAGTATGTCATATAAAGGTGAGATTGACATTGGTATCAGGACGTCTTTCTTCTTTCCCGACGGCTTTGTTGTCTTGTTTTTAAACATGATTCTTTTGAAATGTTGTTTTGTTTAAACAAACAGAGACGTAAAAGCCCTGTTTTCGGCGTTTCGTTGTCGTGAATCCAATGTAAACAGCTCGCCGAAAGGTGTCGAAGAAATCCGCATATTCACGGATTTCCCCCAATCAGATTCCATTGAAATCTTATCGAAATGTTTGAAAATACACACAGATCAGCCAGAATACCAAAATTTGGACTATCTTTTAATATAACATGAGAAAATCAACAAAATGTCCATACAAAATTATCGCTCACTCATTAGTAAAATCACTGTGATAAAATATATATGGCAAAATAAAATATATCGCCCCAATGTTTTTGCACCCCCGGCAATATGGCGAAATGAACCTTGAAAGGGCCTGTTATATAATTCGCAAAACTCCTGGGGTTTTGTGTTGACCATTATTTTAGTGGTTACATGTATTCTACTATTGCGAACATGTTATTCAACTTGGAGACGATTATTCTGAGGGTTGAACTGGTTTAAAATATGTGACATATTAAAAACGAGTATGCCATAAGTGAAATTATGGCCATATTTGATCATGTCAGTTTAAACTGCTGACACTGTCACAGCATTATAATTACTGTATTCACGGCAGGGAGTGAGTGGAAACACTGTCGATGTTTTCATGGTTTATCTTTCTAATGTAAGTACGAAAATTCGTTACTCATTCGGAATATAAACTCCCGTAACAATGTTTTTCTATGAAATTGAAAAAGTGATAACCAATCATCTCTGTGTGAATATTCCTGGCTTAGCTTGTAATGCAATGTTTATAAAAAAAAATTGTATTGGAACCATTTCAGGACCGATTATAGAAGCCGGGACCCGGCGATTTTCGCCGTCTATAGCGTAGTAGACAATCGCCGGTTATTTCTCGAGATTATAGCTCAAAATATTTCCTCGTTATGTCGACGGAAAGTTTAAAGTTTCTTCCTTTATTTAACATAAACTTCGTGTAATTATAATTCATGAATACATTGATAGATATGCACAGGGAGCTACTTTCTAGCGACGCCGTGCGTCTATCGTCCACCTCCACTGGCGTTTGTACCAAAATTCGTACTTTTCAGCTAGTTGCATTGTGCATCCAAGCCAGTAAATTAACTTAATTTATTTCCATTGTGTTTTTTTTCTGATGCTTATATTTACTGCTTGCATGATTTTAGAATCAACTTCTGTCAAAAATGCAAGCAGATTTAGAGGCGATGACGTCGTCGCAGAGATCACTATCTAGTGAACTGGGAACAGAATTAATGGCTCGTCTATCCGAAGAAGATCAAAATGAGGTTAGAATAAAATTAGAACGACAATCATTTCATATACAGAGTGTTAACCAGATGAGAAAAAATCGGCAATTTCAATGAAATTGGGAAATTTGGTTGCTCTGAGACATTCAGAGCCGAGTCAAGAAATGTCTCGTATCTATTTTTGTTTTTGTGTGCAAAAAATTGCTTGGCCAGTCAAGAGTAATCGTGACACATGCAAATTCCTTGTTTTCATCATTTGCCATATTACATTTTTAAGAAATTGATTGGCTATTTGAATCGTGCATGTGATTAAATATGATTCATGGTTGGCTGAGGTCAGCACTCTAACGATCAACTGATGCGTTCATTACAAATTTCGTGGAGTTCCCATCCTCTTTCGCTTCCATTAGTTCACTCCTCTTTCGATAACCCTTTACTCTTTTCTCGATCGTTGACTTTCGTGCAAGTATCTCCTGGTTAGGTCTATAAATAAATGTATACTAGAATTACAAATTGTAAGTAAAATGCTGCGAGTAAATACTGAAAGTGACTGTGTCTTCCCCGCTCGTCTCTTGGGTAGTCTTGAGGATAGTATTTGCATATCCTATAAACTTGAACTTGTTTACATTCGCATTAACTGGCTCTAGCAAAAAAAATGTTGGCGAATTTCATAATCATAACAGCGCCATTAATGGCAGACATTTCGTGAATGAGAATCAAACAGATACTGTAAACGAAATCTGGAGGGGTATTGTTTGTTAAAGCCATAATATAGCTTTCTAATATTATAAATGCATATAAATTATTGCTCGAAAAAGCATTCATCAAAGCTCAAGCAACGTATTATAGTACAAACTGTGATTTTCGTGCTCGTCGAACGCATCGTTTGTTTGTCTAGTATAAATTTGCATAGTGCTTGCGTCGAACATCGAGATAAAATCGATCTCCCTCAGCAAGAATCTGCATGGTCTATACGTTGGATGCGGTCCACTGTTCCATCGGCTTTGTGTGAGCAAATAATAACGCTGAAAAAACTCGTGAAAGAACATTGTGAACGCGTGAAATGTCACTGAACCCTTCGCTACCTTGATGAATGCTTCCAGCAACAAATAAGTTTAAATTTGACATAATTTCAATAAAAAAGTTACTAGTTCTTGCCTTCAACAATTTTTCGAACGTCAGCACATGCTCTAGCTGACGCAAGCAATATGTGCATACGTGCGAATATGAACAACAGGTGGGAAATTTGTCTACGCATGCGCTACAATTTGCGCGGTTTAAGAAAAAGAGACTCGAGGCGAGTAAATATAGTAATTGATTTTTAAGCGTTTTATTGGCGTTTTTAGTCTCGTTTTTTCTGCTAACCAAAAAATTGTTACTCTATTGCATTATTGGGAAGGCGAGGATGGTATGAGAACGTTCAGAGCCTAAACAAATGTATAAAATTGGAACTTTTGCGTAACCTTATACATCGGAACTGCCTCGGATTCCGATGGAAATGTCCAATAATTCCTACTGTTCCGTATTTTTAGATGAATGAATTATCTCCCAAAATAAAGTATATGTTTTAAGGAACACTTTAAACCATGGTGGTTGTGATGTTACTCTTAGTGTGTGTCCACACCGGGCAAGCTTGAAAAATATGCCTGGCCACGGTGGGAATCGAACCTACGACCGTTGGAATACTAGCCATTGGCTCTGCCAACTGAGCTACGCGGTCAGGACGGTTCGAGTATGTCATATTTCCGAACAGAATCTAGTTCCTTCGATATCAATGTAACCTAGTAATCATGATTTTTTGTGTTGGTGTAATGTACTCAGGTGAATGTTAGTGTCTCTTAGTGTGTGTCCACACCGGGCAAGTTTGAAAAATATGCCTGGCCACGGTGGGAATCGAACCTACGACCTTTGGAATACTAGCAGAGCATTGGGCTAGTATTCCAAAGGTCGTAGGTTCGATTCCCACCGTGGCCAGGCATATTTTTCAAGCTTGCCCGGTGTGGATACACACTCAGAGTAACATCACAAGCGTCATATTCACCAGAGTACATTACACCAACACTTTAAACCATATTTGGTTTTGAGGCTCTCGGCAAAATTAAAAAAATATTTTAATTTTTTTTATTTCATTGTGCAAATCTTCACCCCCATAGATCACCCTGTATTAAATTGGAGAGAGAGGGAAACATATTCGCATGATTTCAAAACTGCTCATATTTATTTATTTATTTATTTATTTATTTATTATGCTTTGCCAATTTCACACAATCATATCTGCACAAATACAAACACAAGAATATACAAACTATCAATCAATCAATGGCAGGGTATATGCTACAGCTTTACGCCAATTACAGCAGCCCTTAGCCCAGGGAAATTTTCTGAATCAATAGACTCTAATCTTTCAACAAATAAGTTTTTACGAACAGGATTAGCAAACACATGCAATTTCTAGCGGAATATTCAGAGGCACCTATTCAGACTATTACAGACTTTATTATATTCATTTTGAAATCAATGGTGTTTCCTGTAATCTGATTGGTTCACAGAAGTGCGATTTCAGCACGAATCGCACTCCTAGCAGTGCGATTCGTGCTGAAATCGCACCTTCTTTCAACCAATCACATTTGAGTGCTGACTTCAGCCAACCAATCATATTTAATCATAGGATTGAAACAGCCAATCAATTTTAAGAAAAATGTGATAATAAATAATAATAAATAAGCCCATTGTGCTTTTCGCGCTTAGAGGTTGACTGGTCGAAGGTTTTGACCTTCAGAGTAATCCAGGGGCGCCGAGAGAATTCGTGGGGCCCGGGCCAAATCTTCTCTGCGGCCCGTAAGACATCGTTATTTTTAAGCTAGACCCAGTTCAGTCACGCAAATAGACCTTAGCTGGACTGCAATGGGAGTTACTGTAAGGGGGGCCCTCAATTTCAAAAATGCTCTCAAGTTGGGGCCCTATTAAGGTGGAGGCCCGGGGCAATTCCCCTGCCTCCCCCTCTTGGCGGCCCTGGAGTAATCAGAGGAAACCTTAATTGAGTTACTGTAGCTGTATACACGAACTTGCGGTTATAACTCTACAACTGGGCATCCTGCGCATCCTGCGGCCACAGGTTCGATTCCTGCCAGAGGACATATAGTTGCATTTTTCGTAGCTGTCTAAATAAAACTGATAAATATATAGAATTTCTTCAACATTAGTTCAATCGCGTAAGATGCCATTGTCCTCGGCCAAATTAGTCTTCGTTCTTTTCTTCGGCTTCTCCATTAATTGCCATGGCTTCTGGTCGTTCTACGTTCGACGCCATCTTAAAGTGTTGCAAATTGGTACACCTTTTTGTCCAGGCTATTATCGCATGCATTTGTATTTTTAGGCTCAAACCCTGCCGCGCTACCGAACAGCGATAAAGCCTGGGAATCAGGCCATACTGTATATATCTCTTTAAATACTGGCGCGAGGATACCGCAAAGTTTTTCGTGGGAGGACAAAATTATCGAACTTGTTGCTAGTAAGGATATCAGTGTTTAATTTTTTTGTTAAGGTTGATCAAATAAATGCGGAATTCCAACAGCTTCAAGAACGTTTGCGGTCAGCATTAACGGAAAGATCAGCGGTAGGTTTTACTGCATGCATTGTATATTGTAGATTCAATAGCGGTCATTTATAGAGGGCAGGAGTAGGTGCAACGCTAAGTGTTGCATGTCTCATGTTACCCCTAATCCTCCTATACAGTACGATTTGGGTTTTCCTAGTATTTGTGCATGTGCTGTGCATAACTCAGTGTACATTCGAACTTGCAACCTTTAAGACAATGGGACCATTTGATTTGCACGAATCACCGAATGTTATATGTATAGGTAATAGCATGGTTTCGAGTGCAATTTGGATATAGATAGATAGAGAGACTTTATTTAAAGAGGGTGACACTTAATAGTACGAAGTACTAATGAACTTGTGGCCCTCATAAAATTTACAAAAAATTAGGGAGTATATCTATTGTCTATTTACAACATTTATATATATCTATGATTATAAATCAATATTCAGACTTTCAAGTTTACTTAATTAAAAAGGTTATATTACATGAGGTATATATGACATTACATTTATATAAAAGAGAAAATTATATAGCTATATTACAATTATATATTACTTAAATTTGAAATCGGGAAAAGAAGTAAATTGTTTAAATTCACTCAGGTGCGTACGGAAGCAATTATATAATAAGTATTTAAAACAGTTAATGGAGCTAGCAGAAGGGTAACTTAAAGGTAATTTGTTCCAGAGGCCTATAGCGGTTATAGAAAAAGTTCTTCCTGCTTCTGTAGCTCTATTGTATTTCGGAGTTACTAAACTTAAATCAGCACTGCGAGTGTTCCTCGAATGTTGTTGGCTATTTAAATTTAATAGTCTGTTTAAGTACTCTGGAGTAGTAGCATTAATAGTACGCTTGTAGATCATAATACATTTTCTGATATCCGACTCTACGTAAAAAGGTAACCAACCAAGATTATTAAATAGATTAATCGAAGAATGGCGAGGTTCAGCGTCAAGGATAATTCTGGCGCAGCGTTTTTGAAGTTTGAAAATTTTTGTGATATTGTTCTTACTACAGTTTGTCCAGGTTATACTACAATAGAGAAATAGAGGTTTGATCATAGCATTGTAGAAAAGAATACGTTCGTTTCGAGGCAGGTAGGATTTTATAGATTTCAATATTCCAATACGTTTCGATAGTTTCATTGCAATTATATCAACATGAGTGTCAAAGTTTAAATCTTCATCAATATTAAAGCCCAGTAATTTCACAGTGTGCTCTTGTTCTAATGAATCATCGTTCAATTTAATATTGAGAGTTTGATTTTCAGGAGTAAGCTTAGCTTTAAGACGTTTACCAGAAATCAGAATGGTTTTGGTCTTAGTGGTATTGAGAGGCAGTTTATTGGTAATGGCCCAGTTTTGAACGTTAGAGACTTCCAGAGATAATTTCTCATTAAGTTCATTAATATCATTATAATCAGTGGCAGCGAGTAAGGTAGTGTCATCAGCGAATAAATCTACTTGGGTGTTGATATGTAGAGGCAAATCGTTGATAAAAACGAGAAACAATAGAAGCCCAAGGATAGAACCCTGTGGTACTCCGTCCGTGATTACTTTTGTTGTAGAAGACTGGCGTTTGAAGTTAACATATTGTTTACGGTCTGATAGATAGGATTTAAACCAATCAAGCGAGCTCTGATCAAGATGGTATGCTCCAAGTTTATCAAGCAGGATACAGTGATCAACCATATCAAAGGCTTTCTTATAGTCGACTAAGACCATGCCATTAATGAGATTTTTTTCCAGGTTGAGTAAAAGAGAGTCAACGATAAATGCAACAGCAGTTTCTGTGCCAAATTCGCTTCGAAAACCGGATTGATTGGAGTATGTCAGATTATTTATAGTGAGATAGTAAAACAGACAGATATAACATGCACGAGTGAGTTTTTCAAAGACCTTCCACTAAACTATGTAATTTCACTAAACTATGTAATTTTTTTAGTCTTGTTTAAGGTAAACGCTTTTCCACTTAAAAATAAAATAAAGATAAAAGCCATATTTTCCACGCGAAGGCAACTTTTACTTTGTGTAGCGCGGCGCCATGTTTGTTTTGTTTTGAAGCAATCTGTGACCGTTACTTCTTTAAACTAAATTGCTTTAAACTGATTGGCTGATTTAATCATCACAATGTTTTTCCACCAATCAGATCAGTTTGTTACAGATTTTTGCACTGTGATTACAGAAAATTGCACTGTGATTACAGAAAATTGCACTGCTGTTTGGGATTAACTGTACTGAAATCAACCAATCACAGTCGAGTAATATCTTTATGTATATTATTAAACACCTCACTAAGTTCTGGTCATTTAACTGGCTGATTATGATCACGTGATATTGAAAAAAATCCTTTGTTATTGAGAGTGCAATGGAACGCGTTCCAATGCATTCCGAGCCGTGCATTTTTGTACTATACGTTTTGTTCCATTGCACGGTTTGGTTGTCATGTATTTCTGTTGCTCATGTACCCATACCTTCATAATGAGGCCAATGGAATTGAATTCATATGCATAATATTAATTTGTACGAAGCAAAATAGCCGGTATAAAATATTATTTTTGCGACAATATTGAGTTAAACATAGTTGGAGTTAAATTAATCCCATCACTACTTTGGCTCTTCACTCAAACATTTTTTTGGCACATATTTATTGGATTTTATAATAATGTTAAATATTGTTCATGCAACTCAGGCATGTATTTGTTTTGTACTTAATTCAATAAAAAATCGATATATTGATTTATTTCGGTATTAAATAACACGGTATAAATGAATGTTTTCATTCGTGCAACAATAAAAATAATTGGGCTATTCCATTTATTATCCGTACCCCCAACCCCCTGTCGAGGATCCCTGGAATTTTTCAGGGATAAAGGGTTTTGAGCGTGGAATTTTTCAGGGATAAAGGGTTTTGAGCGTGGAATTCGTCATGGGAGAAGGGATTTGAGCTTGGAATTCGTCGTGGTAGAAGGGTTTCGAGCGTGGAATTCTTCAAGGCTGCGTAAAGGGTTTTGAGATTGGAATTCTTCAAGGGTAAAGGAATTTGAGCTTCGAATTCTTCATGGAATTCTTCAGGGTAAAGGGTTTTGAGATTGGAATTTTTCAGGGCTTGGAATTTTTCAGGAATAAAGGGTTTTGAGTTTGGAATTCTTCAAGGGTATAACTATGAAAAACATGTATCCTCGACGGGGGCACATATTAAGTATATACCAGATGTGTAACTTAATATGACTTCGTGTCCTTAGCTTGTGTACACTATTTATTTATTTATTTGTTTATTTAATGAATTTATTGAGCAATCTACATATGTACTATATCAGGTACAAAGATAAATACTTGACAAACGAAAGACAAAACACACGTCACAAATCACAAATTAGTAGATACACTCAAACGGAAAAGCACAAATGGCACACTAAAAGTCCCATGCGAGGTGCTCCCCGTAATTAGTTTAGATAGAGTTAATTAAATATACACACATATATATTACTTGTGGCATTAAGTCCTATGGCAAGGACAGTCACGAGTTAATGATCATGTACAAGCCATGTCTACGTCATAAACATAACTAATTAATGTAGAGTATCTACGTTTAAGATAGTGTTTAAACTAGCCTGCGAACAGGCTCTCAAGCTGAATTGAGAGCCTGCATCGATGACTAATAAATTTGAATATCTGCGTCTCAAATCGTGACGCGAAATTCTCATTGGTCAGATGCTATAATTTATATGTTTCCGCTGAGCTCTATATATGTCAACTGCTGAATCACTATGCATAAAAAACACATTAACTGATCAAATTGGTCTTGGCCATCTTATCTCAAAGCACGAAATGTTCTGTTTTGAGAAAACAGTATTTAAAACATTTTAACTTTTGCTTGAATATCTTATATTTCGAAAAACAGTATAAACTGTACGGTCTAAATTTAGTTTGCACGGTCTAAATTTAGTTTGCACGAAAGTTGTAAACAACACCATATAAGGATAGACATTCCATATTTGGAAAAAGAACGTTACGGGGCAGATATTCAAATTCATTAGTCATCGATGCAGGCTCTCAATTCAGCTTGAGAGCCTGTTCGCAGGCTA